TACCCTTTATGCCTGTCAAAATCATTTCACCATTGTGATTCCCAGGGTTTCTAGCTATGCTTAATTAAACCAAAAATAATCATAAAGAAACAGCAGAAACCCCCTTAAACCTTGCCTTAACTGTGCTATATCATTAGCCTGTTTGAATCCATATTGCTGGTTTCCAAAGCAGTATCTGTCTGCATGAGAACTGCCTTTTCCAAAATAGAATTCCCACACCTTCAGCTAGCTTGTCTCTAAATGATCTCTGAAGTAAACAATATTTAGTGTGGCAACAATCCAAATGTATGCTGTTTGCTCAGTCTGCCCAACTACAGCAGGGCGAAAAAGCCGTGTTCACAAAACTGCACTGTTTTAGTCTTAAGAAGCTGTGGTGCAAGGGACATCAGTTGAACAGTGTTTGCAGGAACAAGGTCCTAATAATACAATCAGACTCTATTTAATTATTTGTTCTTTAAAAGGGGCCTCGCTTTTTTAGTGGTAGCTGATGGCCACAACAAAAGTCATGGACTGTAAGGCATAAAACATATATTCACATTCAAGCCAACTCTATAATCTTGAACTGGCAAAGCAATGGTGCTCAGGGGTGCAAAGAGATGCAGTTCCTGACAGACACAGCTCTGCTGGGAAGACTGCCCAGGTGTAGACACAGTTATGTCTGCAAAATGGAGCTTTTCCTGGCATAAATTATTTTGCTCAAGGGGGGGCTGGCATAAACTACACTGGGCAAAATCACAGTTCTGTCAGTATAAGCTGCATCCATACTACAGGGCTTTGCTAGTAAGAATACTATAGCTATTCTGGCAGCACACTCTAAGGAAACCTGGCTTGAATGGTGATTTTAAATAAAATGTTAGTCCTGCAGGTATGTTCCACCTCTATATTAGCCACACTGGATCTTATCCTTTCTGAGGTGACAATAAGCACTTTTGCATCACAAACTCTTTTTTTTGTCATTTGGGAAGAAATAAACCGGTGCCAGTTAGAATACAATGTAAATGAAAGAAAATTGGCTTTTATTCTGGATAGTCCCAATGAACCAGAAAGGAACTGCCTGCTTTTCTAGTATCCTATTACAAAATAGATCACAAACAACATTATTTTTAAAATCTTATATTTTTGTATTTTGCGATAAACTCACAAAGCAACTTAACATCAAACCAGTGCAGGCTCCAAACATTGCTTCTTGGACTGCATGTGCATTTTATGCACTGACTGTTTAGTTCAAAATACATTTAAAAAAAAATCCTAGTCACTGGGCAAAGGAATCAGGCTCCTTTTTTACTCCCTTTCTCCAGCCCAGTGGATTGTGTATTCTCTTTGGGACAGCTCCAGCAGGACGGGTGAGGTGAGCCCTTCCTCCAGAACGGTGATAACTTGGCAGTTAGGACACTCTCCTGGAGGTGAAAGCTATTGGTTAGAACCTTTTAGGACCCCTTCATAGGAAATTTCTCTCCATCCAGGTGAATACTGTAACCACCAAACAACTGTGCTAGCCCTTCTTTCCTCTTCCACTCAAAATTTAAAAAAAAAATGGCTGGGTTGACTGTGCAATAGTTGAGTTAGGTGCATTCAGAACATTTTGATCTAATGAAGTCCCTCAGGGAAGATAAGTGGAGGACACCTAGTTGCAGATGCTGATCAGGCTGCTCTATGGCAGCAGGTATGTCTACAGTTTTGCCGTGCTCTGGGAAGGGTGACCAAGAAATGCACGCAACCCTTCTGCTCCTGCCCCACATATGCCAAATCTAGAAATGAGATAATTAAACTGTCCTGAGGTCACCACCTGCTGCTCCTCTTCAGATCCTCATCTCTGGCATGTTAGACAGGGGTGGCAAGGGGAACCTCCAAAGTAACTTCGCTGCCTCTTCCTGGGTTGGTGTGTTTAGAGCTTAAGTAGGTGAGAGTGGCATAATTCTCAGCAGGAACAGTATGCACATGTCAACAGGAATGAAGCTGCTCAGTCAAGGCAGCATGGGAGAAATTCTTGGCATTCACAGAAACAGATCTTCAAGCACCTAGGGAATTCTACTGGCAAAACCTTAGGCACCTATGGGTTTGGTGAGGTTACAGATCACATTCTTGGCCTTAGGTGCCAAAAGTCTAAGTTAGTTCCACTTACGGTACTTTAGTTTTTTTTGTGTAGATCTAGGCCTTATTCTTTTTATTTTAGAAATTTCTAAATGAGTAGCTACAAAACATAATTCAGTTACAATGGACAGGAACTTGCACTCAAGGAAGAAATAAACCTATGTGATTTATATATAAAAACACTACAGAGATTCAATTCACTTTAGAAATTTTCTTTTCAAGAGATGGGCACAAGTAATTTTACTCTGGGCATGCACCTTCTAGTGCTCCATTTATTGAAGCAGGGCCTGGAGTTTAGCAATTACTTCTTCAAGATCATATGGGAGAGGCATGTTAGAATCATCATTCTTCCAGTAGGGATGGCACTCTGGCTTCTGCTCATCTGGTAAACTCTTTGCCAGCTGGGATTGGCACCTGAAAACAAAGATTGATGGAGAATTAAATAAGTGAAGGCATATCAAGAAACGGAATGCTCAGGAAAGCTACATTTGTCCATTCATTAAAACAAACAAACAAACAAACAAACAAACAAACAAACAAGAGGCTCAATCTTTGGACAAAATGGATTGTTCACTTACTGTGAAGCTGCTGTGATTTCTGCTGTAAGGTTTATATTATCTAGAGGGATTTCTTAGAAAGTCAATCAAAGAAAATTCAGTTAGCGTACCTTTTTATGGTGAATTATTTTTTCATTATCTCAGCTGTTATTTAAAGTATGTGATTAAACCATTATCAGATTTAAATGTTTGTGGGTTTTCAATGTATTACTAGATTACTGAGAAAGATTAAACTGAATTTACTGCATTAAGGTCGGGGGATAGATTAAACAATATTACAGAAGCAGGATTGGCTTTGTAGATTCTGGAGATTTACAAGTGTATCAGCCTGCTTTGCTCTGAAAAAGGCAATATAAAAAGGGGAAATTGTATAAAGATATATGCAAATGGAGGTTAATAACAATTTCCACTGATGAATAGGTGGGCAAATCTTCAATCAAATTAAATTAAGAGGTTGGTGCACGTTAGTCCCCAGAGAAAATGTTTAAATTACAGTGTTTTTTATTAAATGGATTATTCATCAATACTAGTGAAGTCTAATTATAATATGCAACTAAATTGCAGCCCTGCATAGGAAAGTTTTATGAGTAGCAACTGTCACATCTCTTAAGATTAGTTTGTAGCACAGAGTGCCACTTATTTGCACTGCATTAGAAAATTTGTCACAATTCAGTGGGTTTTTTCAGTTACCAGTTGCTGATTAATTAGCTAATGTTTGTAAAACACTGAGACAAGGAAAACTTCTAAGTATTATTATAATTACTTCATGTGTACTGAAGGTGAATTTAGTTCTTTAAAAGGGAAAAACCTTATCACATAGACAAGTTAATTATTTTATCCCATGTAAAACATACAAAATTATATTTTGTATATAACTATTACTATAATTACACTTTTTAAAGATAAAATGAATTTTAAATTTTTAAGTGCACTGAAATGGGTCTCTCCCTCTGTAAAATGAACTCTGAAAAGATCAACACACAAAGCTTCCTGGTCTTCTCCTTCCTTTCTGGAAGAGAAAGTCCCAGTGAAAGATGCCTTCTTCTCTTGGGAATTATTAATGGCAACAAAATATCCATGAGAAAACATACTTCAACTTTACACCCATGTTGGTGGGTGTTTAATTGCTGCACCAGCATCCTGTGCACTCAATCCATCGTACATTACACTACAAGGACAGTATTAACACGTAACATTCCAATATATCTTCAGCTCTCCACATCAGCCCCTGATAATAGCATCTGTTAACATGCACTAAGTACTATTATGTAGCACATCACTTCATAAATAATAAGATTAGCCGACCTCAGGGCCCTGAGAAGAGTAATGTGTTTAAATGTTCTCATTATTTATTTAAAACAAGAATTAAAGGAACAGAAGCTACTTGTGACAATCCTCTTAGCATAAATATTAAACTGTTTGCATTGATAAGCTGCAATGTACAGAATAACAGAGGATTTGTTTTGCAGGCTATTTTATAATAGTTGTTAGAGCAAATGCAGTTTAGTGTATGAGTTTTGAGAGGTACTTAACTGATTGTGCCATCATGTTCTGAAGACATTTTCCAAATTATATAAAAGAACAGGAGAAAATTAATATGCAGAGGAAGCTGAAGCTAATTACAGCATTACTCTATAGGGCTTTTAAAAGCTTGCTTTATTTTCTGTCTCAGCACAAAATAATATGCTCAATTTGCTGGTAAGTATAAGACATTTCACTTTAAGGATTTCAATCTAAAAGTGGATAAATTAAGCATGTACAGATTATTACAGCTGACAAAGAGACACTGCTAGTAAATACCATCAGGCATATGAAAAAGTCAGCTCATTATAAACAATTTCTTCTCACTTTTTATTAAACATAGAGTATCCTTTGAGAGTGAACCCATATTACCTCTTTACTTCTATGAAGTTTTTGAACACTTTCCCTGATTTTAAAGTTTCCAATTGCAATGTATTTGCTGCCAGATTTTTCCTCCCAGCTGAATTTTAGGTACCTCTGAGTGTGTTTACGCATGCATTTAGTATTTGCTTTAGCAAACACGTTTACTGCACAGCCCTGGTGGTGCAGACATTTCTGACCCTACTGTGCAGTAGCAACGAGCAGCAGTGTGGTGTCATGTTGCTACTGTGCAGTAGCATTGGTGTCACAGTTTGTGCCTGCTGATGCTACTTTGGCATAGATCATTAGTACAGTGACACAGCATCTTGTGTAGACATACCCAGAATCACTTTAAATATTATCAAAGCTGCTGTAATTGAACTGCTGCCTTGGAGTGACACTGAAAAATTGTGCTCTTCCAGTTTCTTCTACTAGAGGAGGCAGTTCTCTCTATGTAGTATACTTTGGCTGAGCATGTGCTGCATTATATGACAACTACATACTTGGTCATCCTGAGCAATTGCATATTCTATATGAGGGGCTGAGTATGTTAGTGATTACCCACAAGGACCTCAGAATTTCCTGATTTATAAGTCTAAGGCCAATTAAGGATCTCCTGAAGAAATGAGAAGAGAAGAGCAATGTTGTAGAGTTATCATCATTTCTGTGCCTTTCAAGCCATACCTGCCTTCTCAATGACTGTGATTTTGAGCAATATTTCCACTTATTCTGTCTAGATCTGATGCTCTCTCTTTTTATGTCAATTTTCTGGCTGGGAACACTAAACACTTGCACTATGTATATCACCTATCTTCATCCAGTCCTTCAGGCCTTATATGGCATAAGTCCTATTGTCCTGAAAGGGGATTATGTACATATAAAGGTACAGAACTGGGTCCTTAACAACTTTTTGAAGTGTGCATGAAGTAGCACCCACCAGATTGAAGGAAATCATTTGACTGCATGTCACATTTTGACTTGAACTGAACTAGTGGGCCAGAAATCACTGTTGTGCTAATATTTTTAGAATTACATTTTATAAATTTCCCAGAGTTTTAAAGGATAGTTCTTTTTTTTCATAGTTATAGAGTAAGACACAAGGACTCTGCACAGGAAGTCAGTACCTTTCCTTCAAGCATTGCATTCAGAGGTGTTTGAACCGTTCACGAAAAAACAGTGGAATTTCTGCAAGTCACATTAGCTGCACCCTGGGTACATAAACATTAGATCTTTTCTTGCCAGATGAAGATTGATCAAATAGCTGTGAAATGTTTCCAGCAAATCAGCTTTACTCCAGATACCTTAGTTATAGAAATCAACCAAATAGGAAGAGAGACACTTAAAAAATTAGTTCAATATGGAAGGTCCAAATTTTCAAAGCCATCAAGGGAGCCACACTGGCATCCTTCCTGACACCACGCTTCACGTCCTGGGGCCCGAACTGGTCCCAGGAAGAGATCACAGACTTTGTTGCACTGTGGGACAATGCCAAAGTCC